CTCATAGCTTCACTACATAATTCTTTCTTTGTTTATCTCTTTCTATTGCCTACCGTTATAACAAGTTAGAAAATTTTGCATCGAGTTTTTTTATGCATTAATGATTACACTTAAATGGAATGTGTATTATACTAATTAAATGAAGTGAGTTTTGATATGAAAAATATTTGTTGGGAGATATGAGGAGCTAAATCTTTTGAGATTCTATCTAAGATTGAAAATATGAATATAAAAATATTTATAATTCTATCTTTTTAGAGTCATAAGAGACCAAAACCTTAGATTCTATCTAAAAGAGGGAGAATTCCATTGGGAGTCATAAAAAAGCTAGAAACTTGGTTTATGTCTAAAAGAGAGGAAAATCTGTTGTAAATCAAATCAATGGGTTGTATGAACCAAGGAAAGAAGTTCTTCATAATACTTATTTAAAGTAAAAGTTGAGATTATGAAATTTGAGTAGTTCAAAAGTGAGTGTATTCCCAAAGATCAAAACTAATTAACATACTATCTAACATGGCAAATCATGATGGAAGACCTATTTTTAAAACTAACTTGCACAACAATCACAGAGCAGAGATTATGGAACTCAATTGACCATCAAGGCTTAGTTAAACATATCCATTAATTGAATATTGAAGTCGGTTAATATTATTGAATATATGAAGGATTTAAGGGGACTTAAAATTAAGATGGTTCAATATCTTTTCATTGATGTTGAATTTTTCAGAAAGTCAATAACTGCATCCTACTTAAGATGTGTAAGGGAATATAAAGTTATCAGTATTCTAAAAGAGGTTCACTTTGGTCCGGTGTGATAATTTTAGATGAAGAAGTTTCGCAAATATACTTTTGAGACATGAGTATTTATGGCCAATATTTGGAAAAGCTGTAGAGAAATTTTCGAAGAGGTTCCTCAAATACCAGAAGTCTATATCCATACAATTTCAATCATCTCACAATATGTAGCCAATTTTAAGTTCATGGTCATTTGTTGTTTGAGGCAGGGATCTAATTGGTCTATTCCCTCTTGCCAAGTAATAGAAGAAGTACATTCTAGTCACAAAAGAATACTTCAAAAAATAGAATTAAACAAAGGCACTAGCAAAATCATGGTAAAAGTTGTGTGCAATTTCATATAGACTAACATCATTTATAGGTATTTCTTCTCATGGTGATTATTACTAGTAATAGTCCATAGTTTTCAGACAAGAAGGACAAAGAATTTCAACAAACCTAGAAAATTTGGCTCAAATTTATCTCGATCCATTGCCCTAAGAGGAATGGGAAAGTTGGAGCGTCGAATAAGCTAATACTAAATTTGTTAAAGAAGGGAAAGCGCACAAGCAAATGGGCCTAATTAATACTCTTAATTCTGTGGGCACTAAAGACTACTCCATTAACGATGATTTGGTACATGCCCTTTTCACTTTAAAATGAGGCTGAGACAATTTTATCAGTTGAGTACAACTTATATAGCTAGAGAGTACTAAATGTTTCAAACTTTGAAGAATGAGAACTAAATGAATGGAGGAGGATCAATGATAAGGGTTGAAGGAAGTAACTCCAGGCAAGAAGTAGTGAAAGTTGGGTTCAAGCCAACTCGGCCAAGTTCAAGCAAGGTTAGCCTAGTTCAAGTCCGATTCAAGTTAAATCAACTCGATCTACTTAGTCTTAGCTCAAAAGGAAATCACTAGTCTACAAATGAACTCATCCCAAGCAATTAACTACATTTTATGGACTCGTCCCAAGCGGTGAGTACAAACTAGCAAGTTAACCTCAACACCTCTCTTCAAGAGGACGACATCATTCATATGGGAAACTATTAATCAACTATTTGGATATTTGTTCATCTATACATGCCAAGCTAGTGACTTCTTAGTTGTTCAACTAACAATTTATTCAAGTTTGACATTATAATTGAGTTACATAATGCTTGTACTTTTTTATTTTTTGTACGACCATAAATGCAGCCAATTATGTAATGCTTAAACCCCAAACAAAATCTATGGTCAAGAGATTGGCTCAATTTTTTATATGCAAGCTCACTTTATAAAATTCTCATAGCTTCACTATAGAATTCTTTCTTTCTTTATCTATTTCTATGATCTCTTTTCACTCGATATTCTTGTTGTGTCTTAGAGTATTCGTGGCGGTAGAGAAATATAAACTTTAAAGTCTTAGCTTTCTACGAAGATCCAGCATGCAATCAGATAAAAAGAGAGGGTGCAACATTTATAGGAGACACCAAGATTTTTACATGGAAAAACATAAAAAGGGGGAAAACTATGAGGCTTAGCACAGTTTGAATGAATCCACTAATATTTGCAGTTGATTACAAATGAGGTCATTCCTTAGGGGGGAAGGCCTTGGCTTAATGTATATCATATGGTGTACATTATATGGTGGGAATATAAAGAATCATTGTTGACATATTCGTTTGGTCGGAATGACCATAGTCTAGTGACGGATGTCAAAAGGATTGTAGTCGGTGGACGACATAAGTCGGAAGAATCATAGTCAGCGGGCGACGGTGGTCATAATAATCGTTGTCTGGCGACAAAGGTTGGAAGGACTGTAGTCGGTGGGTGACATAAGTTGGAAGGACCGTAGTGGGCGAGCGACGAAGGTCATAATGATCTTTGTCTAACGGTGGAGGTTGGAAGGACTATAGTCGGTGGGCAATGAAAGTCGGAAAGATCATAGTCGGTGGGTGGCGCAGGTCATAAAGATCATTGTCTGGCGATGAAAGTCGGAAGGACTGTAGTCGGTGAGCGACATAAGTCGAAAGAACCATAGTCGGCGGGCGACGGAGGTCATAATGATTATTATCGGATGACAGAGGTCGGAAGGATGACGTTAGGTAGAAGTCCAACGATAAAAGTATGTCTAACATTGGATAGAAGTCCGACGAATGTTTGGCGACGGGCAGAAGTCCGACAGAAGTCTGATGACGGGCGGAAGTCCAACATTGGGTAAGAATCTGGTGATGGGTGGAAGTCCGGTGTTTGATAGGAATCCGGTAACATGTGGAAGTCTGGCATTGGGTAGAAGTCTGTTGATGGACAAAAATCTGGCGTCAAATAGAAGTCCGACAAAAGTCCAGCGACAGGAAGAAGTCTGGCGTCGGGTAAAAGTCCGACGTAGGGTAGAAATCCGGCGACGAGCGGAGGTCCGACATTGAGTAGAAGTCCGACGTCAGCCGGTGGCTGGGAAGTACTCCGACATCAGATTGCATTCGGGCAGAACTCCGGTGTCGGTAGGTGGAAGTCCGGCGATGGTTAAGGAAATGTCTGGTGACAAGAGAGCTCTCTTTCTTCTCTTCCTTTTTCTCCTTCTATTATTGCTTCCTTACTTAATTCCAGCGTCAGTTGGTGATCAGGCAGAAGTACAACGTCGGTCGGATGCCGGGTGGAAGTCCGACGATGGTCTAGGAGTCTCTTCCTTCTCTTCTTTTTTTGCTCGGGCCTCTTTCTTCCCCTCCTTTGGCCTCCTCCTCTATGCAAAATGAGGAGCCTATTTATATTTTTTTTAGAGTGGCATAAACATTAAATAGGAGGAAGATCAAGGGTAAATTGTGAGTGGTTTGAATGGACGACCGATGTTGAATTCCTTCATCATAAACCGTTTATTAGGCATTTGAATGTCTTAATGATTTCAAAATTCAACGATCTTGGGCTCGTTGGATTCGTCTTATCGAGCCGCTCGATTCAACTATAAGCATGTTATGTTTGAAAACTGTTTGGTAATCCAAATTATGGATTAAACCTTCCAAATGTGTTTCGGGTCTTTGATTTAGATTCATTTTGGCTTGGATTGAGTTGAATGTGGTGTCGTTGGGTTTGTATTTCCGAGACGTTCAGTTCGATTATAAGCTTGCTGAAATCGGAGTTCATATGATCTCCTATTTAATTTTTGAAGTTTTCAATCTTGATTTTGCTCCGAGATTCATGCCCGATCAAGATAATTTTTTTTATTATATATCAATTCTCATTATAATTTGGTTTGATCTACAGGCAAATCTAAATTCAACAATCAACACCTAATTTTAAGTCCAGAAGAGCGCCTAATTATGTTTCCTCAGGGAGAGAAATATTTTGAGAGGTATGACACCTGAAGAAAAAGAGATGTTTCATAGTGAGTGCAACAATTTGATGAATATTCCACCTTAGAATATTCATGATCAAACAAGACATAGACAACAATAGAAATCGGTTGCACTGTCTTATTAGTAAATTAATATATAGGGCTGCAAACGAGTCTAGCCGAGTTCGAGACAGGTCTAACTAGAGCTCAACTCGTGAGCCAAATTTCGAGCTCGAATTTGAGTCGAGCTCAAATGGTGCGCTAAAACTCGGCTCGTTGTTGAAACCGAGCTCGTCGAGCGGCTCGATTCTACGGTACGAGCTCCGATTTAAAGTCCGGGGACCGTTGCCCACCCTCGTCTTCTGAGATTCTGCCTTCGCATCTGAGCTTGCCTACCGCGTCCGAACCCACCCAAGCCCACTTTTCATGTCCAAGCCCTTCCCACAATTTCATCGGCCTTCAGCGTCCAAGCTGCGTCGTTATTCCACCTTCAGTAACCGCTCGACATGTATTCGAGCAGAGTTTCTTGAGGATCGAAATCTTGCTCGATAACCCCAGGACTTTAAAATTCTGCTTGAGCTCGAAACTTGATAAACTTGACTCACGGGCTCGAGTCGAGTTAGAGCCGGTTCGCAAGTCGGCTTGACTCAGTTGAACCTCTAATTGTATATAAAAGGGGCTAACAGCCCTATGTGATGATCACAAGGACAAAGTGGCACAACTCAAACATGTTAAACCGATTCTGTCCCAACAGAGCATCACTAATTCGACTGGTTTAAGCCTTCAGAGTCTCTACTCAAATTTTCAGAGAGTACAGATGGCTAACTAAATGAAATTAAGCGCCAGAACATTGCTTAATTCAAACAAAATCAAGCTGAATTCCAATTTGATCTTCTGGAATACTACTCAATGCATCATTGCAGAATTTGCGCCAAATCAACTACGAGGAAAAGTATTTTGAACATCTAAACATCTAAATCCGAGACTATTTACAAGATTTTTTTTTAAAAAAGTAATATCATGTAAAAAAAAAAAAAAAAAAAAAGCTTGTCATCTTCCTCTTAGCCAAATGATAAAGAGTCCGATGACAGAACCTCTGATCTATCTCCAAAACGACCGTTGGAGATTCCTAACACCCTACAAAATTCAAATTCCTATGCATCAAAAGAATTTCCACGGCTTGCAGTCAAGTTTGGCGCAAGTAGGACCCCACGAGCTCCGGCACTCGCCGTCGACACCGTCACAGCAGCGGCACATCAACCCCAGCAACTGGAGCTCTTTAACGTACCCTGTTTCAGACAAAAGAAAATCCTTTATATAACTCTATCCTATCAGAAAAAGAAAAAACACAAATAGAAAGCCAGAACTACAAGACAGAAAACTTACCCTCCTGCTGAACTGAGGAAACTGGCCTGGCCTCTGCCTGCTTAGGAAAGAAATGGGTGTTCGTGATGACCAAAAGAAGAAGAAGAGGCCACCTAACTCTGTTAGAGTCCATGTTTGATTTGTGCTTTGCTTCTTTCGTTTGTGGTGCTGAGTTGTAACTTTATGGGATATATATACAAAGTTGGATGGCTTCTGGAAGTTGACCAACTTTGAGGATTCGGTGACAAAGGAAGAATGTTATGTTATGTTGGGTCCAGAAGGTTTTTTTTAGCCGTTAGATCTTTGGTTAGATCTTTGGTTAGATCTTTGAATTTTTGCTTTCCCAGATAGGCTTCTAGATTCGATGGAGCAGCACGCGCTTCTCAGTTGTCACCAGTTAAGCTGAAATTTTAAGAGGGGAAGCTTCTCCTCGTCTAACTGGGCACACATCACATAGGCCGGGATAAGAGAGAGAAATCTACATGTTCGTTCACATTTTATTGCTTTGATTTTGTTTGGGATGATTTTTTATTGTTATTCAAAATAATTTTTTAGTATAAAAATTAAAATTTTTTAAAAAAATTGCTTTAAGAAATAGTAAAAAAGTCGTCTCAAACGAGACCTTAGAGCTTGATGAAGAAGCTCTACTTGAGCCGAACATAAAAGTAATTGACAAGTTGTTATAGAAAGCAGCTTCTCTGTAAAGAAAAATTTTTAAAACAATGATCAAATATAAATTGGGATTGTGTTCTGAAAAGTAAAGTGATAAGAAAGTTGTTCTAAATGAAGTTGGTTCATTTGGGATGGCTTTCTTACTGCTTCTTAAAACAGTTAGTATTATACAAAAAAGTGAAGAATGAGTGTGTTAATTTCTATTTTTAAGAATAAAGGTGATGCACAAAATTGGATGAATTATAGATGTACTAAGTTAATGTGTCATACTTTAAAACTATGGGAGCGAGTTATGGAGCATAGGTTACGGCGTGATACTAATGTTTCTCAAAATCAATTTGGATTCATGCCGGGTAGGTCGACTATGGAAGCCATACATTTATTAAGAGGTTTGATGGAGAAATATAGAGAAAATAAGGAGGATCTACATATGATATTTATGTACTAAAAAGTTGCTTTCAGAAGTAATAAAAAGTTGTCCCAAACGAAGCCTTATTGTGATTGCAATGATTGCCAAACCTATTGCGGTAAGATTGATTTCATTCTATTGACTTGACCAAAGGTACGTTAAAAAAAACTTCTAATTTGATTACTAATTTTTTTATCATAATTGCATAGAGAAGAAATTATGCACCATATTTTTTGGCTTGAGTGATATAGGATGTTTTTTTGGTGAAGGAAGAACAAATATTGATATTTTATGAGAGAAGGATTATGTTTCTGATAAGTCAAAAATGCATAAAATAAAATTTCAAATATGAGCTACCTTGAAACATCTTATGACTCTATTTCAGATAAGATTATACTGTTATTCTCCTGGTTATTTCATGATGGAGCTTTTAAGCATGCCTTATTGCCTGTATTTTTGGATTCATATGAATTATCGATATGTGCTAGTTGGTATGGTAGTTCCATTCCTGACTGGATGAACTTATTTTGGCTGATTTTTTCCTTCTTTTTGTGGGCAAGGATGAGGTCCTCTGTTCTTTGTGGCTCAACTAAGTAGTTCTAGATTCATTTTTCTTCATGAATTGCTATGAGAACGGATGGGCTACATTTATTTATATGTCGAGGTTGGAGCCAATGATCTATTATACTGTTTTTCTCAGGGCTCAATTGGATAGTTATTATAAAAATCTAAATTTTCAATCATCGAGATATTGTTCACTTTAGCTTAATGGCTTCCTAAATGCCTTTTATATACATCTTGGGAGTGCTCCCATATGAGCACAATTAACTTTAGTGTTTCTAATAAAAGTTTAATCGTTGCTTCAAAAGGTCATTCGATGTCTACGAGTTCAGTTTCATTCTACTTAACAAATGTCAGAATCCCCCGCTTAAATAATTAACATCCTCATTTGCATCATTAGCTTAGAATCATCTGTCAAATAGATAGGATTATAAAGTTGACTATCCCTACATGTTCAAGTGGTGGCTCCTATCATATAACACTTAATTATGAAAATGAGTGAAATAAGGTATCCTAGCATAATGCATGCATATGTTTTTTGTATACGACATAAAACTAAAAACTCCACCATTTGGAAGCATCATCTTTGACTAAGTACTATCAACAACCAACTGTAAATTTATCATGTGAACTGCATCCATTACTACCCAATACTTCATTTATTCCCTTTCAGCACTTATAACACCTCCCATGAAGTTGTTGGTGTGAGGAAAGTAACAGTAGGGTGGAAGGGGAGAGAGAAAGAGGAGGGAGGGAGGAAGAAGAAGAAGACAAAGGGATTGTGCTTAACGAAGAAGCCTAGTGTGAAACCCCTCAAAAAAAAAAAAAAGCATAACTCTTAAACCTCGAGGTGTCTTTTGATGAAATGGTTAGAATTTCAATAAGAAACTCTAAAGTTAAGCATAATTGTGCGACAACAATCATAGGATGAGTGACTTTCTAGGAAGTTACACCAAATTGACAAAACTGTTGGTCATTAGTTCAAAACGAACAATAATTCGATAGTTTAGAGTTTGAGCTATTACAAAATAATATCATAGCAATACACTATGCCGAAAGATGTCATCTCTACCATTAGAATCCTATCTATCTTGTTGATGATTCTACGATAAGGAAACTGACGAGGATGACAGTTATCTAAGTAGGGGAGATTCTAAAACCTTTTGTGAAAATAAAGCTAAATGCTTAAACATCGAGACATATTTTTGTGTAGTAGTTGAAATTTTAGAAGAAACTCTAAAATTAAGCATGCTCATATAAGAGTAGTCCTAAGATGGGTGAATTTTTGGGAAGTTACATCAAGAGGACAAAATCATGAGGCTATTATACCAAAACATATAATATCTCGATGGTTAAGAGTTTGGATTGTTACAAATTATAATAGAGCAATAATGTCACATGTCATTATGACTCATGTTTAATTATAATCCAGACATTTATTTGTATATAACTATGATTAGATTTTTCAAACATCCTACACCATAAAGGTAAACACCAACCTAAAAAAATTTAAAGATTTTCTAGAGTTATCATTTTGAGGGCTCGTTGGCCTAACAAGTCAATATTCAATATAGTGTACCGACCTACATACCATTGCATACATGCATATACTTTTTTGCTTTTGATAAGCAAGTTTTCACATGTGTTATATAGTCAATATGACAAGTTAGAAATTTTATAACTAACATGATTTGTAAAAATGTTATATATTGCATTTAACAAAATTAACATGAATTAAATTTTTTACCATCATATGCGGATCCACCAAAGACTCAGGGTGGGAAAATGCCCACCCTTAAATTTTTTTTTTAATATTTAGAGGTGATATTTTGGAATATTTTGGGTATTTTGTCCCCCATCAAAAATATTTTTTCCCTAATTTTATCAATCCTAAGCATCTTTATCCATCCTCCACAAATTTTTTTTTGCCCACCCTAAAAAAAGAAGCTGGAACCGCCCTTGTCTACCATATAAATTAAAGTAAATGAATAAGAACATGTGAAATAATTAATCAAGGTAATATTGGCTAAAATCTACCACTACAGGAAAATCACTGTTTTCCGGCGGAATTTTCCGGCGGCTTTGAGACTTATTTCCGACGGTTTTCCGGCGGTCACATTTCCGACGGCTTTTCCGGAGGCTTTTTAACGTTTCCGGCGGCTTTTTTGCTTTGCTTGATTCCATCCAATAAAAATCCTACAAGAAGCAAAACCCAATAATTAGAAGCACATAGTTTGAGACATTAATGTCAGTATTCAAATTGATCTACGTGGATAATATCTCAATGGTTGAGAATTTAAGTTGTTACACTAGAAAGTTTAAGCAGAAGAAAAAGACCGAAAATTAATAGTCACCCATTTATAAGGTAAGAAAATATTCTCAAGATAAATTGGGAATAACCTCTAAGTAGCTCTCCATAGGGATTATTTATGACAAACAATGCATTTATAACTACTAGAAGTATAGTGAGAAATATTTTTTTTTATAGTGGATGCCTGTATTACTCATTGACCCATTATAAAACTCATCTACATGTTTCATCATTTTTGTATCCTCTCTTTATCCTTGATCATGTTCAAACCCAAATGAATCCTTAATTGAGCTTGGCTGACCATGATTGATCACTTGACCATAAAAGGACTCATTTGACCTAAACCCTTCGATCGTGCATATGTGTTAATTCAAACCATTTCAAACATAAACCCATACATGCATAAACCCAAATGGACATTAGTTTACCATGGTTGACCAAACCCGCTATTAAATCTAAAGTGACCTAAAACCCTCATACATGCAATTCATTACATGGAGACCATAAATTTTTGTCACAAATCACTCATGAACTTGACCTTTAATAAGATGAATCGCAAGAGACTTTTGTTCCTCTCTTAAACTTGATTAATCACATTTCTTCTCTTCCTATTCCCCACCTCATCAAGCAAATAAGTAGAAAGCATTGCTCACATAAGGGAACACATAAGGGAATCTAAACTCTAACGTGTCAATGATCTATGTTTATGTACTTTCATGATGATCTTCTTCGATTCTATCAATTTCCATGATGAACATATTTAATCACCAACACCTAAACAACCATTACTTGATGTGGTAATCTCAAATAACATCTTTTAAATCATAACCAAATGAAGATGGAGCAGTGAACAGAACCTAATGAAGATAACAGAATGTTAACTTTTAGTTGTTATTTTTTTTTTGTGTTATACAAGTAAATAAATTTTATGTTTGAGACATACAAATACGAGAGTTTTCAGCATTACATACGTAAATTTCTCTTATTTTTAATACATAATTCTCCTCCAAAAATTTTAGAGAGGGAATAGAAAAATGAAAACAATACTTAATTAAATTTCATAGAATTAAATGGTATACACATATGCATAACAGAATTTACATAAATACTCATGTTCTAATCTTTCAAGCTTTGCATCAATAGCCACTCCCTCCATTTCCATTATCTTTCCTTCTTCTTGCTTGGTGAAACCGTCCCCATCATAACAAGGATGGTCATGCATGAATTGTTACCTCTGAAACTATCTATCTTGACTGCTCTTTAAATGCCCCATTTGTAACCATACAATTTGAATTTCCTCTACGCATGATACAATTAGTAAGTTCTATTTAATGATGGGGCATATTATGAAAAAATGACTCCATTCAACAATTTCCTATCAATTTCCAACTTACTAATCCCATCGGGCTTAGCTGGGTTGATGGGCGAGCGTGATTGTGAACCCACCAACTCATGTTCGATTCCCCTCTTCAGCGGCGCGCTCCTTAAGTGTGGAGAAAATAAGTGCGTGGTTTGAAAAATAAGGGGTTGATTGCTACTACGCCCGACGAGGAATTAGTTACTCCAACAAACGCCTCCTTTATGGGAGTGTCAGCAGGTAAATACCCTCATTCTCAAAAAAAAAAAAATCCAACTTACTTAGCTCCATCAATTCCCAACTTAGCTATTTCTAGAAATAAAATTACAATGCTTATTTGAAATGAAATGAGATCAAAACCAACAGGATGTTATCTATTTATGTGCTTGTCCAGCATCTATAAATTTTTTTGCCTCCACTGTCTACTCTGCTCTTGCCAACATAAATTAGATTGAAAAATGATTAATGCATCTTAAAAAACTGATGAAATCTATCGCCCACACCATCCATCACACTGCTCATCGACGAGGAAACATCTCAGAATGAAGATCCATCAATTTACAGGTGATTCACTTTTCTCTATCAGCCGGAAGCGGGTAGTTGCAGTAAAGATTGTCGCTGATGCAAAGGAACAATCTTTCATAAGCCGCCCCCATTTTTTTGGCCGTGAAGAGACGAAGAGCTCTGATTCTGGCGGACTCTCCTTTCTTCCTAAGAACAGCTCTTCCATCACTGAAAGCTTTAAAAATGGATTCTTTTAACGATTCCACAGTAGGCTGAAACGTGTACCCGACCTCCGAACCCACGATGATGGAGCCGGTGATGCTCGCGAAGCGCGTTCCCATTACAGGGACGCCAGAAAGCATCGCTTCGATGAAGGTGTGGTCTAATCCTTGCGCTCTGAGAGTTGGGTTCAGGAAGATATCGAGTGAGTTGTAGAATTCAGAAAGCTGGGTTTGATCCAGAGGACCGAGAAGGATCAAATTTGGCCCCAAATCTCTGTATCTACTTGCCCATGGCCCGTCCCCAGCGACCAGAACGAAGACGCTTGTCTTGAACCTTGAATCCTCCATGAATGCTCTTTTCAGACATTCGAACATTAAAGGATGGCCTTTGTCTTTCACCAGTCTCCCCGCCATTCCTATCACAAGTTGGGCGCTTTCGGGGACTCCAAACTTTCTTCTGAAACTTCTGGTACTGCTAGGCTTAGGCTTGTATATTTCTTCATCAACGCCATTGAGGATGATATGAACTCTCCCTTCTGGTATCATGTATACTCTTTTGAGGATATCGCCAACGTGATCGCTGGTAGCTACGTGGTGGGCGTAGTTGCGGAAGAACTTGACCTCTTCGACGACTTTCCCCAGCTTATCGGAAAAAGAAGAGTGGCGGGGCTCCTTGGGTTCTCGAAGGAGGTCTTGGACGATGTCGGAGTGGAGGGTCTCGTAAGCGATTCCATGCCAGGAGACGGCGACGTGGGTGAGATTCCGAGCACGACCATGGAAAAGGCCGACACTTTCGGTGTGGACTACGTCGAATGGCTGACTGGAGTTCTGAATCTGGAATTCCTTCCATGCAAGAGCTTGGTTGAGGTAGCCACCGGGGCTCGGCGGAATTGGGTGGAAGGTTAGGGCCGCGTTGGAGTAGTAAGGGAGGGAAGAGTTCGAGAAGGAAGAGTTGGTAGTGAAGACGTGGACATCGTGGCCGCGGCGGGCAAGGGTGAGATGGAGAGTGAGGGCGTGGCGCTCGAGGCCGCCGGCGAGGTTCTGTCGAGGCCATCGCTTGACGAAAAGAGCGATCTTGAGGTGTCGGGGAGGTGGGTTGGAGGAGAAGGAGAGTTGGTTCCATGAAGAAGGGAAAGATATGAGATTGATGGTGGAGGAGTGGTTATAGGGTGGTGAATTAATGGTTGTTTGGGGACTGCAAGGGGAATAGCAGTGAGAGTAGTAGATGAAGGAGATGGAATAGAGGAAGCAGAGAAAGAAGAGGAGGTAGCAGAGGAAGTGGAAGCTTTTGTAGTTTGCTGGGCTGTGGTCCTTCGCCATTGATGGCTAAGGTAACATGATGACCTGAAGGTGGGAAGAGAGACACCAGATATGAATGGAAGACTTGCGATCCTTCTGCAAGATCAAGGAGAGAGTCATCAAAAAAAAAAATCAATTTTACTTTTTCGAATAAAGTAATGGGTTCTTAACAAAACTTTATTTGACTTGAGAAATGTGCTCCCCATGTGGATTTGTTCTGGATTTTAGGCAGATTTAGGTAGGCCTCAAGGAGTTTCGAAGAACAAATCCAGTGCAATGCCTCCATTGCAACTGGATTTGACCAGCACTTGGATTTGACCAGAAATCTCCCTTTCTGACGCAGAGGTTTTTTTTTTTTTTTTTGTGGAGCGAATTTAATTATAGTTTTTAGAATATAATAATTAATATGATCCATATAGAGCCTTCAATCACATTTAATCCGTAAACAGAATAACATACTTTCCAACAAATCCAGCGAGGATTCAATCCTCACTGCCCAACAGTTAAACTTATTCTCATTTAATTGTAAAATCTCTCATGTAGTCAGAGAGAGTGGGAGGAAAATGAGAGTAAGGTGCAGAAGGAGAGAGAGAGAAGAAGAAGAAGAAAATAGGAAAGGCATGCCCTTGAATAGGAAAAATTATTAGGCGCGGAGTGCAGATGGGAGAGCACCGTCTGCACAAACACACAGGGTATCAAATGGTACCTAGTGATACCCAGCGGTATCGAATGGTACCTAGCTGGATTTTATACTAGTGTGCGGACGGTTCTCTCCGTCTTCACTCCGCACCTAATAATTTCTCCTCAAATAGATAACCTAGAGAGCTAAGCAGAAGAAGCATAATATGAATTTTATAAAAGTCATAATTTGCGGGGTTAAAAATTCTCCCAATATATATTGAAGATGCCTCTGATTAGTTCTACTCTATAAATTCTACTGGGCATTATGGATTCTTCATTTTCTTGTCCTTTAGATGTAATACATGACTATTAGAAAAATTGTTAAAATATTTCCAACTCCAATGGAGGTACATATTACCTGCCAAATCATTATACATCCAATCTCCATATGGTATCATATATTTCTTTTTCAATATAAATCAATTAAAATGTTCAAGAGAATTATATCTACTACATATCAAAAGTTATATGATGAAAAATCACAAAATTGAGATATATTATATTTTATCAATTTCAGGGGTAAGAAAAATCAGCAAAATATAAAATCACTGAAAGCATAAGTAATATTAGGGTTACCAACAATGATCATAACATTTTTCCTAACTAGAATGATAAAAAATGTTGGTATGAACCTTGCTTTATCTCTCCTCTTTCTTCTATCTCTCTTTTCTTCTTTCATTTTCTCGATCTCTCTTCTCTCACCTGGCCCAAAACAAAATGGGTAAGGGTAGAGGAGAGTGAAGGTTTAGTATAATAGATACTTTTTTATATATATAAAAATTTTCAAACCTAGTACTGCAATGCTCCAGACCCAACACTATAGCTTCCTCAGATTCCATAAAATTTCTAAGCTTAATGCCACAATGCCACCTATCCTTGTGTTGCAATGCTCACTTAGCTAATTTCCTATAATTTATTAGGGGAATTAAATTTATGACTATTGCAACTTTGACACAAATAGTTAAAACCTAATTAACTTGGGTACCCCCAATCGACCCACATTCAAACATAGCTTATACTCTAAGTCTAAGATTATTTGAGATGCCCCATGGTTATATATCTAGTTCTATATTGATAAAACTATAGTGGATCCACTTAGCTTAGTTGACTACTCACTATATTAATACAAATTCTAAGAATGTCAAATTTATGTAGTCAATCGAATGGTGAACCTTAAGCTAAAATAGCATATGTGTTATGTTCTCGAGACAATAGGTTTGAGCCCTAGACCTAATAAGCAAACTTATCAAACCTCAAGGTCAAGTCGATCTAAACAAATGTTGAATATCTTGGGTTTTCCTTCTAAGTTTGCAAACTTGATGATGTAATGTGTGATGGAACCAAGGTTCTCTATTATAATTAATGGAAGTACATCAAAGTGGATTAAGAGAAAATGTGGATTTCGAAAAGGATGCCCACTTTCTCCTTTATTATTTATTTTCTGTTCTCAATTACTTTCAAATTCATTTTTAAGCAGAGGCATGGATCTAGGTATCAGTATATCACCAAATGCATAGAAAATTTCTCATCTTTTGTATGCGGGTGATATTCTACTTTTTTCATTTACGAAGCTGAGGAATATCAAAAAAATGAAGAAGTTGCTTCTAGATTATTGCAAGTGAACTGGACAAGTGGTAAATCTATATAAGTCTTTTATGTTGATGGGTAAAAATATTGGTAAAAGAAAGAAGACCTTAAATTTATCAAACAAAATCAAACTTGGTTGTAGGCCTTAAGATCCTAAGTGAGACTAACTTAGTTCACCCTACTTTAAAATTTTCAAACCTTTCTAACTAATCTCAGTTTTTAAAGGGTCATCAAAGCATTTTGAGGTAGCTCGGACCACATTAAAGAACAAATGTATGTGTGTTTGAGCGAGCGAGCAAGAGAACTTGCTCGCGCGCGTGCGCGTGCGCGTGCGAGAGAGAGAGAGAGAGAGAGAGAGAGAGAGAGAGAGAGAGAGAGAGAGAGAGTTCTCTTGCTCGCGCGCGTGCGCGCGCGCGTGCGAGAGAGAGAGAGAGAGAGAGAGAGGGCATACACATCATATGCATCCCAATGACAAAAAGGTTAGCTAAACATTGAGGGATCTTGGAGAAGACTTAACAAAAGATGCAAAAGCCAAGCAATTATTCCAACAGAACTAACTCAAAAATGGCCTATGTATTTTTTTATCTTTATCACTAGCTCTATTTTCCTTTCACCGGCCTCTCCCTAATATTTTTATTGGCATTGAAAAGTTTGGCAAAAGCTTTAAGAAGAAGATAAAGGTATTTTAGAAAAAAAGAAGAAAAAGTATATTAAGAAGAAAAGTCCAACAAGCAAGTGAACCCTTAACTAAAAAGCTAAATAAATAAATAAATGTATGACATACGTTATTGAGTGTAGAACATTAAGGTGAAAGTCACTCTTAAATTTATACTAAACGAACCTTTAAAGTCTAATAATACGAGTCAATTTCAATCATAAAGAGGACGAGTCCAATACATAAGCTATATATGTTTAAGTACATTATTAAAAAATTAAAAATATTCATAAAATAGTTCAATGAGTGTATTACAATATGATAAAACTGATTTAAAAAATAAATATAAAATAAATCTCGAAAGTCCAATAAAAAATCTTTGAAAGAAACATTATTATGCTTGCATTGTGAATATATATATATATCATCATCATCAAATAGGAATATCAAAAATTTAACCTGACCCAAAACCCGATCCGATATGGGTTTGGGTCAACTCGTTTACCATACCGGCCTGATTCGGGTTTGAAATTCCGACACATCTCTAACATTAGGTCGGGTTCGGATTGACCTGAATACAAGAAATCAACCCGGGTTTGACCCGGATGCTGTCGATCTGTGTCTGGCACTCCATCTAGTTGTCCTTAGTCTGTCTCGTTGGCCGCATCATTTCCGATGTGATCTACCACACTCCCACTCTCGTAGCCCTCATGCCCTTAAATCCAACCTCAGGTTCAAGGGTCGGGTCGGGTCAACCTGGCAACCCGCACGAGTCAGTTTTGGATTGGAAATCCTAACCCGTTTGGAAAACATGTCAAGTTATGGTAAGCCCATTTGGACCCGAGTCAACTCGGGTTGGATCTGAACCCGACACATTGACCCATTTTGATACCACTATCATGAACATAATTATGATATGAGTTGAAAGACGCTACTTAGACAAATATCATTATCTTTCTCATAAATTGTATCATTTGATGTTTTAAAAATCGCACCGGATCTGTCGTTCATCCAATTGAACCAAAAATTGGTCTGCCAGCCTATCCGCGATAAATTTCTAAAATTAGTTTCACAATGAATCGACATGAACTGTATCAAACTGATGGTTCGACCGATTAACCAACAAAACAGTGCTATTTTTCAAAAACCAACATGTTTATTTTATTAAATCATTTATATAATTAAACAAACTAATTTATGTTTCTATTATAAAAAATGATTATAATTTTGTATTGATAAAACTTTTCACACATAACTTTTTATATGTTATAGAGATTGATATTATGAACGTTTTGAGTATTTATTTAAGATTTTTCACTATGTGATTTTGAAAAATACATCAATTTTTTCATACTCAAAAATTTATTTTGACATCTAAAAATAGTGAATTAGTTCAACTAAAGCTTCAAATTATGCAATATCTGGTAATTTGGTTAAATTCTGAAATATGAATTTTTTGTTCAGTATGATTTTTTGTTGTCTACTGTTAGGATATTTTAACAATTTCTGAATTAAGCTCAATTATATTTTATTTGCTACAATGTATTGGATAGCATGTGTACACTCCTATATAATTTTACTACATTTATTTAATTTTGAATGTTTTTATTTATGATTTTATTTTATCACTTTATACGATTTCTCTACCGGTTAATAACATTGATATGATGATTACTTTATAGATTTTACACCCGTATTGATTTATTGGCTCTCATATTGTTCTAGATTCTATTACTATTAATACATGTGAGTTTTATTGGTTCTATACTTATTCGATGATCATATGAATGCTACTATTATGATTTGATCCCTAACATTCATATTGCTCATTTACCATATTTTGAATTCAATTGTAAGTTTTGATAATTTGCTAATCTTTTTTAGTTCATTATATGTGATTAAATATTTTTAGGTCATGATAGAGGATCAAGAGTGTGAGGGTAGTAAGGACTCTTCAAGTTCTGTTCTTTTTTTGTTTTAGTTATTCTTTTATATTCATGACAGAATAGTTATTAGATGATTGTATAGATCATGAGTAGTGTACATGTTTTTGATAGAAATGAATGTAAATGCATATAGTGATGTTTTGATTAATAGTTTTATTTATGTTATTATTTAGATTGATAAAAGAAATTAGATTGCGCTGTTGTTGTTTATTAAAAGATAAAATAATATTTCTTCCAAATTAGATTTTGGGACATCACATATCAATCTTTATATATTTATATACTTAAAATCTAAATTTTTATATTTATTAATATAATGTTATATTTTTTAAATCACATAAAAATATGAGTGGCTTCACTTTAAGAGACAAAATATGAAATGAGTACAAACATGGAAAAGTTGTAGTAGCTCCAATCATCTTATATGATTTGGTCACATAAAATGTTGGCCTTCCGATGACCCCGTGAAATATGTATTAGATTTAGCCTATGTTAAGAAAGGTAGATGCAAATCTAAAAAGACATGGTTAGAAAATATTAGAAAAAAAAAATATTTTTTATTAGATTTAAATAAGAATTTAACTGTTAACATAAAACAATAGAGAAAAAGGATTCATGTAGTCAAACACGTAGTAGGATAAAAGCTTGATTTTATTTGTTTGTTGTATAAAAATATCATTAATTTTAATTTAATTAATATAAAATACATTTTTTCAGCATAAATTTTGATGTAATTTAGATCTTAAAATATTCAAAATTCTCGTTGATATTGTGAGACCCTTTAAGTAAAAAAATAAAATTAAATTCTTAAATATCGAGACGACTTTTGGTGTAATGGTTCGAATTTCATTAGAAACTTCAAAATTAAGCGTGCTCGTATCAAAGCGTTTTAGGATGGGTGATATCCTAAGAAGTTACACAGAGGGGATAAAATCGTAAGGCTATTAATTCAAAGCACACAATATTTTGATGGTTGAGAATTTGAGCTGTTACAAATGCTCTTATGTTACACTTAACACCTTGTTGTTAATTGCATCTTAAACCTAGAGCTGTTACCAGTCAACATAATATTCTTCATTATTATAGCTGCTTGGAAGTAATGTCCCACAAAGTGATGTCGTTTTGTTGCTTTATTTTTTTTCCATAAAATATCACATGGACAATTATATATAAATCTTGCTATCTGAATGTTTCAATTTTCTTAGCAAAAATAATCGCTTCAAATTCTTGATCATCAAAAATGATGATGTAAGAGAACATTTGGAGGCCATAATCTCAAATGAAAATGTACATTTGGCAACAGTAAATGGGGTAAAACTTAAAAACTTAGCAAAAGGAATGCTAGCATAATTACTTGTAAACTTTTTAAGCAGCTAAATGAGGTGCATTTCATATGTTCTCTCTTTTAAACGACCAAATCAAGTTCAAACCTTTAATAAAGAAAGAAAGTCTCTAATATTTTTTACTAACACTAGAAGAAATCAAAGCTAGTACTTCAAGCTACACTGTGGTTAAAAGCACAGCTCTTGAAGCTGAATCTTTCTCATCTATGTTGACGAGTACCATCTGAAGTGCTGACAAGCAGAGATTCTTTTCAAGAGACAACTTTAAATGCTGACTGATTCGAGCTTTGTCTTGAGATTATAACTTCAATCACTTCAATACTGTCATCAATCAGAACTTTGATAACATTTGGAAACTTTGATAACATTTGGAAGAAAAAGCTAATTTCAAGAGAGCTCAAATGCAAGATTCTAGCTAGCTGTAACTCAAATGAGATTGCTATTACAAAGTTTAATCTAATTTGAACTTTTGTCAGCGTTTATGTCACATTTTCAAGCTAGTTCTTAACTGCTTATTGATTCATGGCTCTAGTTGACACTACCTCTGGTGTAATCCTCGATCGATTCATGGGATACACTGATTGATAGTTATAAAGAGATAATTATTGTGCCAACAGTCAAAGAGTTATGACTATATTTACTGAGTCAATGATTTACTGACACTGATACGATACTAAAAAATATCATGATAGCTAGAATTCTTACTTTTTAGTGTGACTATTGAAATAAATATTATTGAGATATTATTTATATTACTATATGAATTTATTATTAACACTTTTACTAATTTATTAATACAAAAAGCATAATATATTCATTGAGCAAGTGATATATATAATATATTGAGCATGTGATTAAGATATTGATTTAATACTTATATAGAATAACTGGATATCATATGTATACTCCTATATAATTTTACTACTTTGATTTAATTACAACACCAAAGCAAGTGATTTATAGAAATGAATATAAATGTATATATTGATATTTTGATCGATAATTTTATTTATGTTACTATTTAGATTGATAAAAGTAATTAAATAGCTTTGGTGTTGTTTATTAAAAAATAAAAGAATAATTTTTCCAAATTAAATTTTGAGGCATCATAATTGGTATCAGAGCATAGTTATTAGAAGAATTGATTGTTACCATAACCGTAAAATTTGATGGAGAATTTAGTATAATGAATAGTTTATGGTGCATTATTTTATATACATAATTAATTGCATGTGTGTATTATTCAGATCATACTAAATTGTGCAGGTAAACAATCAAAATGGATCCACTAGAGTCAAATATACCCTATGAGCAACATAATGCAGCTTTAGTACTATCAGGCAGTATGATGTAGTTGGCTACTATTATAGCATAGGTAATGGGTGATGTGTAAAGTAAGCAAGTTGGAAGCAAAGAAGAAGAGAGTGATAAGCATTTGCAAACATTTCATAAGTTGAAGACTCTATTATTCAAAGGAATTGCAGGATCTCGGGCTGCGAAAGACTAGTTACTAAGGATATAAAAGATCTTTGATAGCATATAGTGTCCTGAGAGCCATAAGGTATCAATGGCTATGTTCCTCTTTGAAGGAGAGGCTAGAAGATGGTGGGTCGTAAAGTAGAGAGAATTTTCAAGGGAAGATAAATGGTGATATCACTTGAGATGAGTTCACTACATTATTCATGATGTGTTTGTACATCCTTCATCCCGATGACAAATGCATGAAGCTTTTATCAAGTTGGAGCAGGTCCGCAAGACAATGATGCTGTATGAGACTTAGTTTACTGCTCTTGCTATGTATATTCCTCATTTGATCCCTACTGTTGAAGAAAAGTGCTACACGTTTCTATAAGGGTTAAATAGGGAGATGAGACATACATTAGTACCCTCTACGAATTCAAGAGTTTTTTGAGTTCGTGGAGTGTGCCAAACTAATAGAGATTAATTTGGTAGCCCCAACATCCAAATATGAGGTGGGCTCCATATATGATGTTAGCAGGAGGAATATTGATTAACAAAGTAGAGAGAGAGAGAGAGAGAGAGAGAGAGAGATAAGAAAAGTTTGTATAGTGATTCAAGGGGATCTATAATAGTAGCATCTACTAGCAGCTGCGGCGAGTGCATTCATTGAGGTCAATGACATTCAAGTTAGTGATACCTGCTGACAAGGTAATGTTTTTGTTGTGGACAAAATGGACATAAATAGCAAATTATCTTCAAAGGTAATTTAGAGGAAGGATCGATTTTGGTGTTGCACAGTCCAGACATACTGTAGGATAGAGGACTATAGGGGTCAAGAGTATATTGTGAAAGGTCAACCAACAAGGTAGATGATAGAGCTGTGAGTGGTAGTCAGAGGGAGACTATTACACCATGACCAACTGCACCTACTCCGATGATGCCATGTGTATACTTACAATATATAGGAAATCAACATCAACCTAAAAGTTCTATTGGCAAGAAATTTATTTAAATAATTGCATGACATAGCATATCACACATAATTAAATGAAATTTGAATAACATGAACTACATGACTGTATGATTTTTCGATGAGTTTTGATTTGAGTTTATATATATATATATATATATAGTGAGACCCTTTTAAGTAAAAAATTAAATTAAATTATTATATATCGGGACAACTTATCGTGTAATGGTTCGAATTTCATTAGAAACTTCAAAATAAAGCGTTCGTATTAGAGTACTTTAGGATGGGTGATATCCTATGAAGTTACACAAATGGGATAAAATCATAAGGCTATTAGTTCAAAACGGATAATATCTTGATGGTTGAGAGTTTGAGCTGTTACAAATGCTTTGCTGTTCCACTTAACACATTGTTGTTAATTGCATCTTAAACCTAGAGATGTTACCTGTCAACATAATATTCTTCAGTATTATAGCTGCTTGGAAGTAATGTCCCACAAGGTGATGTTGTTTTGTTGCTAATTTTTGCCTGTGTTTTTGTTCATTATTGAGGTAGGTTGGAGTTGTCATCTAACACTGCTACTGATAGCTACTTACTCGACTCATGAAGTAATCTTGCTACATGGAGGTGTTGATGCTACTTTCAATATACATTCAGAGCATTCAATTCACTTTAGCATATTGATTGAGACTTTGGACTTCTAATTAAGTAGCCGCATGTTCAAAATTTTGCATATATTTGTGTGAGTTTGTAATTCAGAAAAAATTTCTGAATTACAAACTCACACAAATGTTATTAGATGTTGAACTCACTTGTATGTTACCAACTAAAAATAGTTATATATCTTGAATATTATCAAAAAAACTCTATATTTAATGCATTAACTTTAATAAAAAATTATTTATAACCCCCTTTAAATGCTTAATTGCATACATTTCACCAACCAAACCTCTTAATTTATGTTAAGTATCATTATTAATCGCTAACTATATGAATGTCTCAATTTCCTTAGCAAAAATAATCACTTTAAATTTTTGGATCATAAAAAATGATGATGTAAGAGAACATTTTGAGTCCATAATCTCAAATCAAAATGTACATTTAGCAACAGTAAATGAATTAAAAACTTAGCAAAAGGAATGCTAGCATAATTACTAGTAAAATTTTTAAGCAGCTAAATGAGGTGCTGTTCATATATTCTCTCTTTTAAACGACCAAATCAAGTTCAAACCTTTAATAAAGAAAGAAAGTCTCTAATATTTTTTACTAACACTAGAAGAAATCAAAGCTAGTACTACAAGCTACACTGTGGTTAAAAGCACAGCTCTTGAAGCTGAATCTTTCTCATCAATGTTGACGAGTACCATCTGAAGTGCTGACAAGCAGAGATTCTTTTCAAGAGACCACTTTAAATGCGGACTGATTCGAGCTTTGTCTTGAGATTATAACTTCAATCACTTCAATACTGTCATGGCAGAAAAAGCTAATTTCAAGAGAGCTCAAAATGCAAGATTCTAGCTAGCTGTAACTCCAATGAGATTGCTGTTACACTATCTTCATTGATTTCATTCCAAAGTTTAATCTAATTTGAACTTTTGTCAGCGTTTATGTCACATTTTCAAGCTAGTTCTCAATTGCGTATTGATTCATGGCTTCTGTTTTCCAGTGGATGAAACTACTGTGGTACCCTTATCCCTCGAATCCACACCAAGGTAATCAGTCAAAACCTTCTTCACACCAAAACCACGGCCATGTATTTTCTTATTGATGAAAGGGGACCTCTCTCCTCCCCTTGCAGGACTAAGCAATGGAGGTGAGAGGCTTTTGTTTGTATGCAAAGTTTTATATGGAGTGCCTGAGACAGGCACAGGGAATGCAATGGAGACCTTCTTTTGAGAAGCTATGCTGACTTCTGGAACATGTGACAACTGAATTGTATTCTTAATCAAGTCATCAACATAGAAGAGATCGTCAATTCGAGCGATGATGTTAAATGCAAGGCTCTCTAAAACCCTTGAGTAGGCTTCAAGAATCGACTTCCCAATATCCTGTGAAATTTTTAGAACATCTTAGCACTGATAATGTATCGATTAACATATAAAAACAGTAGTTTGCAGGCCATTCAAACCTTATTGAATTGTATTTTGCTCATGTCTAATGTTGTTTGAGTAAGACCAGGAAACCTTTGTTTCAAACAAATTAAGAGGGAATCAGCTCTACTTGCAAGCAATTCCCTTTTATCACCATCTACCATCATGATCTCCTTGACCATCCCCCAAGATGGTCGGGGATTTGCTCGCATGGGATTATATGGAGTTCTTGGAACTGATCTTCGACGCCATACATATGAGGCTGCTTCAGCACGGTTGGCGAGTTCTAGTGCTTGGTGTTCGGATGACAAATTAAGGCAATCAAGAAGGAAATAAGGGGAGAATTTATCTGATGTGATATAACGATAGGTCGCCTCTCCAAGACTGGTTCTTCCATTCTAACCAAGAATAAACAAATAAGAAGTTAGGGACTTTTGGACTACTGGCAAAAGCAATTAGATTTAGTGTACCTTTGGAAGTGATTCTATGTAAGATTCAGGAATCTCCATTTCAGCTAATGCATTGCTGTTAATAGCCGTTGCAGCCTTCAATATTTGATTCGTGCATTCTCTCTTGTGCACCAATTGCCTTCTTGTCTTCTCAGAAAGACCACTGGGAGGAACACGAGGTGAAGGAAGCCACCACTTCTCTTGATGCTGGATGTTTCTATGGAAAGAGACCGAACCATCTGTTTCTGGGGCTAATATGCCTTTATCAACATACCAAAATTCTGAATCTTTAAAGCTATCCAAAACTTCCTGACAACAAATAGATTTATATTAAAGAAAAATGTTCAACTTTAGAAGAATAGTGAGGGACTACAGAGTCTTACAATTAGCATATTGTCTAGCTTTCGCAATGCTGGGAGATTGATATAAAGATCAGGCCTTGGCCTGCAACTCATTACCTGAAAAATACATAGGATGGAAGGAAATTTAACAGTTGATAATATCAGCAATATCTACGATAGACCAAAGAATTGGAGAAGTATTATCGATAAGCCCGAATTAGGATAGGAAGCATAATGACCTCAAGCTTGCTTCCATCATGAAAGGTTTGCCAGGAAGGTTTGAACTCAACTATGTGATCGCTGACACAAACAAGCCAATCCATTTCTCTTCGCCACATGGATTTCTTTTCATCAGATAAAGGTTCCAATCTCCAGAGCTGCCCAAAGAGCGTGGCTATAAAACAACAGTAAAAAAAGAAAATAAGGTAAAATTTAGGAAGGACTCGCCATTTGCATAACTAAAATGTAACAAGTAACGAATATTCACGGTAACAAAGATGTAAATAGTCAAGTACTTGAGAAAAAAAAAAAGATTGAGAATGACTAAGTTCTTAATCCTATAGAGTTCATTAAAGTAAAAATTACCACAGAGATTGGTAATAGCATTTGAAATCGCCATTGCAGAGCAAACTCCTTTTCCACAACCAGACATGTCTTCTCCCAGCAACAATTTTGCAAATCGTTCTTTCATCATCTCCAACTCTAATTAAAAAACAAAATCTCAGAAATGTAGCATAGTAACTCTTGATAATAAAAATTCATAATTGCTATATGGAATGTGTCTCAATGCTGCCCAACACCTTTTTAAACATATATTACAACACGAATGCTAAAGTTTGAAGCACATTTTAGTTTCTTTCACGAGATCAGAGCAGAGAAAGATTGATCAAAACAATTAATGTAATTTCAGAACCTGATAAAGCTTGTTTCGGCTTGCTAGCATTATCATCATTCTGGTGTATTTTCTTCTCATTTCCTACTGAACTTGAGACAGAGTTACTCCGCATTCGCCAGCCCAGAAGCTCGAATTCCTCTTTTGGAGTTTCATCAGGATCTACACATCTCTCGTTTGGGCCGCTATCACTGCTACCGCTACTGCTGCTTGACACTCCGGTGCTTGAGTTGCTCTCTCGGCGTTCCTCGCCAAACTCGCTGAAAGCCTCACTTTCGCAGCCAATATCCTCACAACGAGCACCTCTTTCCCCACACTTCTCCTCCGAACTCTCCATTCCTACCACTCCTGTTTCCACGAAAACCTGACAAGTCCAAGAAATGATGCCTTTCCCCAAACCTTCATGCGAGGCGTTCCTCCTCAAGGGAAACCTATCTTGAAGGCGAGATCTAACTATAGGTTTAGAAGATCTGCAAAATAAAAGCGTAAGTAGTTTGAGGTTGGAGACGAAGCATTCTGAACCTAATCGAAGGCAGCGATGGTTTCCTGATGCTTCTCCACGGCAAAGAAGGGACCTTTCCATAAGAAATGGGTCATTTCTGCATAGAAATACAAGAAGAAATGAAGGACTGGTGAGGAGTCCATAGTTCGTCCCTTTTATCCGTCGAGGCTCAAGCTAGCTATTATTGTTGGCGCTCGCCTAACACAAAATCTCTATGATGGAGAAGGTTTGGTAGCGCGCCCCTCCATAATTATTTCCTTGCCAATACTGTGCTCTATGGAATTTTAAACAAAAGTCCATGCGGCACTGTAACGGTCGTGCACTGCGACAATAACTCGAAAAAGGTCGTTTCAGGGAGAATAAAACAATGATAATAAAATAAACGAGAGGAGAAATTTGAAGTGCTCGGAGAGGAATACTGACAAAAGTAACGATGAGAAGGTATCCAAGAAATGACCGTTACACTCAGGACCCGTTGATTCATTTAAATTTTGAACGCAAGAAAAGCGTGTTTGAGATAAAGGGAGGCCAAAGGAGAAAAGTTTTGGGCTTTTTGGCTTAAAATATTATTATTGTAAAATAAAATATAAAATTATAGGGAATTTGAACTTTTTTCATATTTAATTGAAAGAAAAATAAATATAAAATAAAATAATAATAATAATAATAAATAAATGTCACTAAGTTTTCTATGTAAGTAATATGTAATATTTATGCCATGGTCAATCAAATATCATAAAAACATTTTCAGTATACTATATTTATTTTATATAATATTTATTTTAATATGCATATCTTTTTCCGCAAAGCAAAACGAATAGATAGAAAGCTTGGTGCTTGTTATTTTAGTTTATAAAATTGAAGAATTTTGTTAAATTTTTGTGACAGGTTTTTTTTTAATTAAATTAATATTTTGATGTTTTTATTCATTTGTTAAAAAAAATATATCAATGCATAAACATATACAAAATTAATCAATGGTCTCTAGCAAAGAATATAGCTACAGAGCAGATTGAACAATGTACTTTATTTTACAGAGCAGGAGAATAAATATTGGATTTATAATTATTTTAGATAATAATTTAAAAAAAAAATTTTGTTCACAATGACAGCACTATTTCAAAAGAATGAAATTTATAATTTGTTAAATTATTTCACTAATATGATAAAACTAAAGTTATTAATATCCATCAAACCTTTAATAAATATTTTTTAAGACATCTTTAAATATTTGAATATTTAGCAGTAATTAGATCAATAATTAAAGTCACAACTTGTATTAATATCAAAGATAATTAATTTAATTTTTAATATTAATCTAACTCTTTTAATAATTAGCAGAGAGTTTTTTTACCAACCAAAATCAACTACTTTCGACTTATCTCTAACCTAAAGATGTAATTAAAATATCGGGTTTCAGATCAAATTTTACTTGAACTCAAATCTTATAATCTATAGAACATTCATAGGAATAAAGATGAAGAATGTCACTGACATAGAGAGTTCAATTTTGTATGTGAATGCTCGACAGAGATATTTAGGGTAAAATCATCGAAACTCACTTACAACTGATATGCAATCTCAACTCTAGTGGGTTGTTTGGTAGCAGTATTTAGGTCAGATTTGAGGTCGATTTGAGCGAAATCCAGCCAAACGGCCTAAAATTCAAAACCAAATCTCAAGGTAAATGAAAGCCGCCATAGAAAGAAAATTTCGTCTTTTCGTGCTACATCCCGAATTTCCGAATTCCTATTTTTTGCCGGATTTAAGAAATCTATTAGCTCTAGAGGAAAAGTCCGCTCATTAAATCCGCTCTATAGTCAAACAGTCACACGGGATTTAACCGGATTTATCATGAATGTTACCGAACAGTTTCAAGATTTAGGCCCCTCAGGATTTCTGAAATCTGAATTTAGAGGATTTATGAAATCCTACTTAAATCAAATCCTAGGTACTACCAAACAACCCCTAGATGTGAGTACATTATTCATTATTATGAAGTTCGATCATCGCTTCACCCCGCCTCGCTTTCTTGCTAATATTCTCTCAAGTATAATGCTAAACATATCTCGCGAGAAATCCTCTCTAGAGTCCTCTAAAATAAAGTCGCAAGTACTTTCCTCTTAGGGCTAACTATTTGGACTTTTTTCTCACAATTAAAAGATCATTTTCGTTTCATTCTACCATGTGTAGCTCTATATCTCCTCAAGCAACCTCCAACTCATCATTCAAGGTCAATAAATGCAAAATGTCATCAAATTCAGTGGATCTTTCACTAAATTAATGATTGTATTGGCCATTAGGGTTTGGAAATTATTGCTCAGCCAAATAGTGTATTTTATTAATTATTTCTCCCATATAATTTCAAATTCATAAGCTTTGCTCTTGCTCGTTTAGTATACTGGGATGTTAAAAATCACCACTTATTGAGGTCTATTGTACGAGAAATTCTGTGCGGAATCCGGTTATAGAGCTGTGTTCGGATGCCAGTAAAACATTACACGTGGCGTGCTTACGTGGAAAGTTGGGATATTCATTGGTCCCCCATTAATGCTGGAATGAAATGTTTGTCATTGTCTCCATGTCCTCACTAAGCAGCCATCATCACAATCCTTGGCTAATCAAAGTTCAACCCACTATATATATTATATCAACAAAAACTCTTAACTATTGAGATATTATCCATTTGGACTAATGGCCTCATAAGTTTATCAAGTATGTGCAAATTCATAAGAGGTCACCCATCCCAAAATTGCTCTCTTAAGAGTAGGCTTAACTTTGAAGTTTCTTAATAAAATTTTAATCATTACACCAAAAGGTGTCTCGATATTTAAGAGTTTAGCTTCTTTTTAGTTAAGGGGTTTCATAATCTCTCCCACTTAAGTAACTGACGTTCTTATCAGTATCCTTATCTCATAATCATCCATTAGGCATATAGGTGGTGCCTACAAGTTCAAGTATTAGCTCCAGCCATGTAACACTTTGTTCCATATAAGATTCAAGAAATCACTACAGGAAAACAACTCATTTCCGACAGAATTTCCGGCGGATTTCCGACGGAAATTAAAAATTAAATATTTTTTATTTTAATATATAACTTAAATTATTGAATTTAATAACCTGTGTTTGTTAGTCTGTGTGAATTAATTATTTGGAAGATTCAGTTCCGAACCAAATTCCAAAGCTAGATCCTGGTTAGTGCAGCTCCGTCGCGATCCAGCACGGGCGGGATCCGTCTCGTCTCGGGTCGGGTCGTGACAGAGAATGTCACTGACATAGAGAGTTCAAATTTGTATGTGAACACTAGAGGGAAAAAAAAAAGGGTGTAATCATCAAAATTCACTTACAACTGATATGCAATCTCAACCCTAAATATGAGTACATCATTCATTTTTGTGAAGTTTGATCATCTCTTCACCCCACCTTGCTTTCTTGCCAAGGTTCTCTCAAGTACAATGCTAAACATATCTCTTGAGAAATCCTCTTTGGAGTCCTCTAAAATAAGGTCGCAAGTAAGTGACTTACCTCTTAGGGCTAACTAATTGGACTTTTTTTCTCAGAATTAAAAGATCATTTTTGTTTCATTCTCCCATGTGTAGGACAAATTATTGCGTGCGGAGACCGGACGTACGATTTGTCTCTATGAATAATAAAAGTGCAGTTCACTATGGTTTTATTATTCACCACTACGCTTCTTTTGTTGTTCACAGAGACAAATCCAAACGGCTCTGTGTCCGGTCTCCGCATGTAATAATCTCTTCATGTGTAACTCTATATCTCCTCAAGCAACCTCCAACTCATCATTCAAGGTCAATAAATGCAAAATGTCATCAAATCGAGTGGATCTTTCACTAAAGTAATGATTGTATTGTTCATTAGGGTTTGAAAATTATTGCTCAGCCAAATATTGTGTTGTATTAATTATTTCTCGCGTATCATTCCAGCTTCATAAGCTCGCTCGTGCTCATTTAGTATACCGAGATGTTGAAAATCAGTACTTATTGAGGTATATTGTACTTGGTAAGGATCAAAGTCGCTAACCAAGGCATTATGTCAAGATCACTCTTGTCAGCCACTACTTTTCATAAAGTTCACAACTAAGCCTTAGACTTCGTTTGGGACGACTTTCTTTCTGCTTCTTAAAATAGCTTTATAGTATAAAAATTTTAATTTTTGTACTAAAAAGCTTCTTTATGAAGCAGTAAGAAAACAGTCTCAAACGAAACCTTAAATGCAAAAGCTTCAGCATAAAATAGGATTATTGGTCCCCCGTTAATGCTGGAATGAAATGTTTGGCATTATCTCCATGTCGTCACTAAGCAGCCATCA